CTTTCATCCCTGTACCAGCCAGCTGCCAAAACAAAACAAAACAAAACAAAAAACCATGTGAAACATGAGAAACATGTTTTAAAAGTTTTCTAATATAATAAGTATTCTTTGGGGCCGGCCTGTGGCTCACTCGGGAGAGTGCAGTGCTGATAACACCAAGGCCACGGGTTCGGATCCCATATAGGGATGGCCGGTTTGCTCACTGGCTGAGCGTGGTGCTGACAACACCAAGTCAAGGGTTAAGATCCCCTTACCGGTCATCTTTTAAAAAAAATAAAAATAAAATAAAATAAAATAAAATAAGTATTCTTTGATATTGCTCTTAAATTGCCATGGATTCTGGTCAGCAGTTGTGTTCTGCATGCTTTGGTTCTTTTTTCTAAATGTTTATGTTTACCTGAAAAGAATGTGTATTTTCAAATTATTCTAAGATTCTACATATTTCCATTAGATTGAGCTTGTTAATAGCCTGGTTTCACTCATCTATGTCTTTAGTAATGTTTTGCCTGCTTGATTCATCAGTTGCTAAGAGATGTGATTAAAGTGTTCCTCTAATATTGTAGATTAATTTTTTTTTTAAAGCATGCTTGCACAGAATCCCAGGGCTTGCAACAGTGGTGTCAGCCAGCTCGGCAGAGTCGGAAAGGGATTCTCAGTGGAGAGATGATTGGTCCCCAGAGGGAAAAGGCGAGCACCTCACCAGCCTTCCTTCTTTCTCCCACTCAGAGAGAAATGGGGAGAAAGAGTGAGAGACAGAGTGGGAGAAAGAGGAATGGGGACAGATAATGTGGAAAAAGATGGGGAGGCAGAAAGAGATGCAGAGAGAGGTGGAAAAGAGAGAAACACAGAGACAGAGTGCGTGGCACATGGAACATACTCAGTAAATATTTGTTGAATGAATCAATAAGCAGAGATTTCTGCGTGTGTGTGTGTTTGTAGAGAGAGAGAGAGGGAGAGATGTGGGGTGTGGGTAGAGAGATAGGGAAGGAACAAGTGATATGCATGCAGATGGTGAGACAGAAAGAGGGCAGAGATGTGGGAGATATGAGAGATAAGGAGAGATGAAGATGGGATTCTGGCACATGGAAGGCACCCAGCAGCATTGCTGGATAGATGAATGAGCCTCAAGCCTCAGCTTGGAGGGTGGAATGGATATTGAGCAGAAGCCACACTATCTATAGGAAAGGAATTGTTCTAGTTTCATCCTGAGATGACAAGAGCCTTACCCTGCAGTGGGAATGAAGATGTGGGTAAGGACACCCCGATATTTTAGAGGCGGAATAGATAGGATTTGGAGACTGTTTGGATGAGGAAATGAGAGAGAAGGCAGAGTAAGATGAATTGCAGGGTTTGCCTTATGTGATTGGGTGGGTGTGATTCCATTCACTGAGACAGGGATTATAGGAGTCTGACCCGGTTTGGGTGAACACCGATGATTTTGAAATGCTTATGGAACATTCAGCAGGAGATGTCTGGAAGCAGTTAGATACTCTGGACTCAGACCTCAAGACGGAGGTCTAAGGTGGAGATGCAAAATGGTGACTCAACAGATAATAGCAGTAATTAAAACTGTGGCTATGATGGGATTGCCTGGGTATGCCATGGTAGATGCTCAAAATTTGTTGAATGAAAGTGGGAGAAACAACCCAATAGGAGAATGGTGTGAAGGCATGTGTGTAGGGTACAGGAGTCTGGAGGGACTCTGGCCTGATGGCTTTTATGTCCCCGTGAAAGAGGAGGTGAGATTCCAAAGTGGAACAGCTTCCATGGTGACAAGATTCAGGCATGCAAAGTGAAGGTGATGGTTGGAGTGGACAAGGTGAAGCAACTGTGAAGTTAGGGTATTGAAAAAGCATTTGTGGGCCGGCCCGTGGCTCACTCGGGAGAGTGCGGTGCTGATAACACCAAGGCCCCGGGTTCGGATCCCATATAGGGATGGCTGGTTTGCTCACTGGCTGAGCGTGGTGCTGACAGCACCAAGTCAAGGGTTAAGATCCCCTTACCGGTCATCTTTTTAAAAAAAAAAAAAAAAAGAAAAGGCATTTGTGAGACATGTCCAAGAATGTCCATAGCACATTCCTTCATAATAACAAAAAATAGAAGCAACCCAATGGTACATCATCCAGTGAATAGATGAACTAGCTGCAGTACATCCACATAGTGGAATGCTACTCAGCAACAAGAAGAAACAAACTACATACACACTCAACAACATGGATGAATCTCACAGACATTATGCAGAACAAAAAAAGCCAGATATGAGCATGTACTATATGGTTCTATTGATATGACGTTCAAGAACAGATTAAACTAATCTATAGGAGTATGATTTTTTTTTTTTGGAAGATGGGGTCTCTCTAGTTGCCCAGGCTGGGGTGCAGAGGCTATTCACAGGTGCGATCCTACTACTGATAGCAATGGGAGATTAGACCTGCTCTGTTTCTGACCACTGTTTTTCACCACTCCTTAGGCAACCTGGTGATCCCCACTCCCAGAAGGTATCCGTATTGATGCTGAGCTTTATGCAGACATCTGACTGGCATAGTGCACTACAGCCCAGAACTTCTGGGCCTGAGCAATCCTCCAGCCTCAGCCTCCCAAGTAGCTGGGACAACAGGCATGTGCCACTTCACCAGCTAGGGGCGCATATCAGTGGTTGCTTCTAGGATGAAAGAGGGATTGACCAAAAAGGGGCATGGGGAATTTTCTGGGGTGATGAGAATTATGAGTAGCTGGGACAACAGGCATGTGCCACTTCACCAGCTAGGGGCGCATATCAGTGGTTGCTTCGAGGATGAAAGAGGGATTGACCAAAAAGGGGCATGGGGAATTTTCTGGGGTGATGAGAATTATCTATGCCTCAATTACAGAGTTGTTTACATGGGCCAAAGGTCATCAAACTGTGCGCTTAAGATCTGTGCATTTTACAGTGTGTAATTATATCTCACTGTTAAAAATGTCATTTATGTGGACATTAAGTCCACCAGAGAGATGGCAGAGGTTGAAATAGAGAGGAAGCTGGAGAGTCAGTTGCCAGCTCTAATGAATGAAAGGGAGGCTGAACAATGACAACAAGAGGGAGAGACGGAAGGTCACAGGATCAAGTGCTATGAACTTTAGAGGAGAAGCTGTTGTCAGAGGCTGAAACTATCAACCTGGGGGCCGTTCAATGGTTGAAGAATGTCAATGCGGACTTGGCAGAGGAGAAGTTCCCCCCACCTCGCACCTAATAACACTTGGAGGAGGAATCTCCAGGGCAGGCTGTGTCACCTGTGCTGGAGCTGTGGCACCCTCTGTGTTTTCCCCTCCTTTCCTGCTCTGAGCTGAGTTGGAAGTTTATTGGCCTTGACTGCCATCCAGCCAGCCCACAGATGACTTTAAAGAACAGAGACAGGTGCGCATCCACTTCAGAACTTTCCTATTTGTAGCCTTTTCTCTTGAGACTCTGGAAATAACAAGGCCCATCATTATAACAAAAGAGTGGTTTGGAAGCCCCCTTGTTCTGGGACATGGAGTAGCCCCATGTGGTTGAGCGTGCACCTTACTCTGTGCAAGTACGGAGTTTTATCCTCAGGCCAGTTGCCCATTCCACGTTCTCACTGGTAGTGACCTTTCTTCCCTCCCCAAACCCTGGAATTCTCACAGTTGAAGTAGAAGAGACAATTTTTCCCACATTGATTCTTTGGGGTGGGGATAGGGTGTTGATAGCAAGAGGCAAGGTGGAAAAGGGCAGAAGCTGGAATTGGGACCCAGGTGAGAAAAGCCACCATTGGTGCCTCAGGCCCTCATGTTCTGTGACCACCAGGGGGCAGCCCTGGCCTGCCCAGCACCTCAGCCCATCGGTCTAGTTAGATGGCTATTCCACTGCTGGAGACTGGCTGAATGGGTCCTTCCCAGATGGTGGAGCACTTGTGCTTGTGCGGGTGGCTTAGAGAGGTTAAATAATTTGTTCAGTGTTATATAACTAGTTCATGAGAGAGCTGACATTAGAACCCAGCCTGACTTTGAGCCAGCTCTCTCTTTGTTTTTGCTATTTTCGTGACCAGTAAGGGGATCGCAACCCTTGGTGTGGTGTTGCCAGTGAGCGCACCAGCCATTCCTATATAGGATCCGAACCCGCTGTGGAAGCGCCGCTGCGCTCCCAGCGCCGCACCCTCCCGAGTGCGCCACAGGGTCAGCCTGAGCCAGCTCTCTTAACCAAGAGATAAACTGCTTCTCCAAAAGGTGGCAACTGGATAATACGAACATATGGAGCTAGAAACACAGATACAGAGAAAAAATATGATTAGTATAAAAGGAGCTAGAGACAGTGTGTGGTGAGGAGTGGGCACATGTTTCACCCAGCATGTTACACCCAATCCTTCTTTTCTGTGTGCTGTGTTACCTCCTGTCGGTGTGTAATACACATGCCAGAGAGTGTGGCATATTCTTGGACTAATACCTGTACAACTGTGGAGTTATGTGGAATGGGGTGTATCTATCATTTGTGTCTGTAAAAATACATTTTGTGTAATGGTCACTTTGTAGGTTCTCAATAAACGCTAGTTAAATGGTGAATAAAATAGTAAATGGGTGCTGGCTGGGTAGCTCAGTTGGTTACAGCTCAGCCTTATAACACCAAAGTCATGGGTTCCGATCCCCATACCAGCCAGCCACCAAAAAATAGAAATAAATAAATAATAAATGAGTGGATTTCCCACGGGGTGATAAGTCTGAGCAGAAGGCACTAGATAAAGCAGACACCTGCTAGGGGTGTATTCCTTTAATGGAGATCTGAATATGAATGGTCCAAATTTCTCCATCAGCTGCACTCACTCTTCTGCCAAACCACCTAGTCAGCACTATGGAAGTAAAGCAGGAGATTGCTATGCAAATGCAGCTTCCGGACACTAGTACCCCCACTCCCATCCAAATCAGCTTGCTTCTCCTAATCCCCTCATTTCTAGAAATCCTCAAGCAGTGCTGGGGGAGGGCCAGACTGGAGAGAGGGAGGAGTGGGAATGGGTGAGATGGACCTGGGCACTGGTGGGCCCAGGATGGCTCCTGGAGACTTATTCTGGGTAAAGGGCTGGACTTCTTGACCCTTGATAGGTGGGGGGAACCACATCCTGGTTTCACCCGCCCACTCGCCCACCCTTGTGTTACCAGTCATCTGAGCCCCACCCTCCCCCTCACACACTTAGGCAACGTGCCCACAAGCTGCCCGGCCTCCTAGAGACCCAGATATATCCAGCAGCAGCATGCTCTCTCCTTAGGGAGGCATGCATATGATGTCCGAGGTCCCAAGCAGTTGAGGTCCTTGGCGTGTGAGCCCTGTGTGTCATAGGAAGATCCCCACCCCCATCTGGTGACCAAAGTTCTGGCCACAAGTAGTGGGTCCTTCCTCCTCCAACTCACCGCTCAGATTCCCCTCACCAACAGGGACGCCCTCCTACCTGGCCTGCATGCTGTTGCTCAAGGTTATCACGGTCCATCCAGGTGACAGGGCATTCCCTTTGGATCCCAGGAGGTGTGGGGCTGAGAGGAGGGGGGATGGGAAGCTGGACTTAGATGCTCCAGGGGAGCAGGCTTGGTGGGGACCAAACTTTGAGCCCTGAGGGGAGCACCAGTTGGGGCTGACACCCAGTGGACTCTCCAGTTCAGAGTCC